GCCACATCCTGAACTCTAGAGTTCAAAAGGATGATCTAAGAGGAAATTAGGCCCTGTTAATGTACACAGTGCATAAGCTTCTGTGCCACTGGGAAAATCTATCTTCCATCCTGAAAACTCCGATGAGCAGTACTGTTTAAGTGATTGTGGTCTTGTAGATGAGCTTATTTATTTTAATTTTAGTGACTTAATGCACTGTCATTAATTCAGTTTTCCCTCACCCTCCTGGTGAGGGGGACTAAACCCTAACACAAACAACTAGACTTTCACACACTGCAGTCAAGCAGCTCACTAACAGACCACTTTGAATTAAATCTCTATAGGCTAGCTTAATTCAATAGGAATCTCTACACATTTTAGTCATATATATATTGACTAGATCCCTGCCAGGATAAGGATTCTATGTACACAGTGCATAAGCTTCTGTGCCACTGGGAAAATCTATCTTCCATCCTGAAAACTCCGATGAGCAGTACTGTTTAAGTGATTGTGGTCTTGTAGATGAGCTTATTTATTTTAATTTTAGTGACTTAATGCACTGTCATTAATTCAGTTTTCCCTCACCCTCCTGGTGAGGGGGACTAAACCCTAACACAAACAACTAGACTTTCACACACTGCAGTCAAGCAGCTCACTAACAGACCACTTTGAATTAAATCTCTATAGGCTAGCTTAATTCAATAGGAATCTCTACACATTTTAGTCATATATATATTGACTAGATCCCTGCCAGGATAAGGATTCTACAGTGATACATCTGGAACATGGCCACCATGAGGCTCTTACTTTGGGATTCTGAGGAACCCCTCTCTCCCCTGGGGGATACTTGAAGAAGGCAGCAGGAAAACTTTAAAAAGGTTTTAATAAAATTTAAACATTACAAAAACATTGGTTACATGATATACAAGACAGCTAAACTAAAATACAAAATTAAAGATGTGCTAATGCTAAGACTGACACTGTAGATTGACACTTGGCGATGATGATCTGCCCAAGATGAAGCCCCCGTTCCTCTTCTGACACTGTCTATTTATAGTTCATGTTCAGGGTGCAACCACAAGATGTTTAGTCCATTAAACACACACCACATTATCTGGTTGGTCAATGGCACAGTCCATCCCATAAAAGGTAACAACATACAATGCTTTACTTTCACAGGATAAACTCCACATACAGCACTGCAGTTCTACTGGATATCAAAGTATAACTTTATTGTGATGTATGTGTTCCTAAGTTCATTGTGTGTACTTTCTTGGCTTCTACATGTGTGCACTCATGGTGCAATATCAGCAAGCTTATAGATAAGAATAACAGTTGCTGGTTGCATATGGAGGCTGGCAAGATAGGAAACACATGTGCAACTGTCTTTAACAGCTGAGCTAGAGTGACAGTGCAGCTTGACATAAAACTTAAAGGCTCATATCAAGTTAAACATTTAACAACATAACTGCATATTAAAGTCAAACATTTTCAAACATGAACTCTTTATCTCAGAGCTATAGCAAGCAGAATATGCCTCAAAACACTCTTGTTAAAGTTAAAAACATGGTGATTAAAGATTAATGGAGAAACATTACCAACAGGTCACAATCCCTTCTCACTCAAATCGTATATTCTAGAGTGAATCTTAAGCATATCAACTTTTTCTGTACTGCAGATAACACAAGCATTGTAAAAGTATTACTTTATAGTATATACTTTGTAAAGTACAAAAGCTTGAAAATATATATCATGTTAGCTGATATTATTTAAAAGAGTTTCATGCAGCTGTTGGCAGAGCTGTTAAAATGGGTCACAGGGAGAATCAGGAAAAGGCCCAGAAAATACAGGTCACTGAAGTAGTGCTAGCCTTTGATGAGCCGGTATCAGAAATGACCTTACAAGAGGTCTCAATCAAGTTCCTAATCTCTTAAAAGGAAAATCAGTGATGATTAATAATAAACAAAGTTACTGAGATAATATTCAGATATATTAGTTACAACTACAAGATAATTTAGGAAATAGTCAACTGTTTACACTTTCCATTATATACACTACAATCTGAAAGTCTTATCTTGGAAAATAACTTATGTCAGTTAAAGACTGTGCAATGCAAATATGGTCATAAGTGGCCAGCGCCACAGCTTTTATGGGTTACTTCAGACAAAAACTTAAAATTCCTCAAAGAGCCAGAGTATATTGGTTCAATAAAAATTTCTCAGTAGAATAACATCTGAAGGTATGAGAGGGTAGCTGCCTATAACTGCTGGTTGTTATCATTCGGGAGGATTTTGGGGTCTTGTCCTGAATTAATAACATGTAAGAGGGAGGTCTGCAAGTTCATGGTAGTCAATTACTGAGTGAATATCTCCACCAAAAAATCTCAGGCAGTGTTTGGAGCTTTAATATGTTTCAAATATGCCACCTTAATGTAAGAGGTTATGCTCTGTTCTTATGTCCACGGGTTAACAATATCGTGGCCTTCAAACACAGCATATTCAAATGATATTACTTAACACTAGGACTATCCATCCATTATCTATACTGCTTATCCTGAATAGGTTCGCGGGAGGGCGGGAGCCAGGTTACACTGGAAGGGTCGCCAATCTATCACAGGGGTGACAGACAACCACACACACCCACATAATTCAGAGTCATCAATCAACCTAAACTGCATGTTTGGACTGTGGGAGCAAGTCAAAGTACCCAGAGAGAACCCACACAGGCACAGGGAGAATATGCAAACTCCACACAGAAAGGCCCCGGGTCAGCCAGGGCTTGAACCCAGACACTTCTTACTGTGAGACAGTAACCACTGCACCACCATACCGCCCTACACCAGGACTAATACAATTGTTATTCTGTGATTGTAGTGAATTCAGAAATTACATTCAGTCATATTCATGACCACTGACACAGGAAATGATAAACAAGGCAGGCAGGGTCTGGAGCTTCACACTTTTTTAGGATTACCAACAATACTCATGTTAGATCTGAATAATATCAAGTTTGGATACATACTACATAACCTAGGTTGCCTATTATATTGTCAGGAAGATCTGAAACAGCACAGTACCAAACAGAGCTGTGGCTATATTATGATCATGCACTGGAAGTTTTGCCCAAAGGCTGTTGCAATGTATCTGGAGATGTTCCATTCATGTACAATGAGAAGGATAGTACAAGCTAGCTTAATCTCCTATTTTAATGCTACTACTGCTTACTACATGAGAAATCAGTTTGGTAATAAACATGGATTTCAGGTCATTCCTGAATTCTGGTAACAGAACAATAAGCACAGTGTGCTTTTGAAGTACAACAGAAAGATGCAACCACTAGCTGGAGTTTTCATCTGTGATTGACACTAAAAACGCATCAATCCAAGTCACTCTTTCTAACCAGCAGTTGTTCAACTGCTTAGTCCGGTGTGATGGAAATGTAGCATAATCCAGCTAATCTTTGCTTTTTCGGCATCTATCCAAGGTGATGTTATGGATTGAAAATGACATTATGTATTTACAGCCAACTGTTACTAGGCTAAAAAATGTCCAGCAGTATTACCTGAACAACATCTGGCCCACACAAAGGCCTCTGCTATTTCTCTGCGTACTAACCTGTGCTTATTTCTTGCTAGAACAACTTACAGGTGTATAAAAACAAGACATTGTACTAAATATGGTACTGTCCCACCAGATCCCACAGTTCGTTTTCAGTTAACAGGAAAAATCAGTATTAGCTTCATTATCTTGACAGTTAAAAAAAGCATAATGCTGAAAATAGCATTGGGAAATGTGCTTATCATATACTCTAGTCCTACTTAGTTCCACAAAACGACTTAGTGGTCCCAAACACACAATGTAAACGTAAGAAACTTTTTCAACTGTAAAACATACACATTCTGTGTATTTGATGGTTACTTGGTGCCGGCTGATCTACAACAAAGTTGATGCAGTTTGTAAAAAATCATTTTATATAAAGAAAAGCACCATGACAAACCATACAAAACTTAAACAATGGAAGATTCTTAGGGAAGGGTGTTGCTGCTTTCCAGAGAGTCATGCTCCTCAGCTCGCTCTGTCTCCTTCCTCTCTTTTTTGTTAACGAGTGGGGTTCCTAGAAACAACAAACCATCCATCATATCTTCTAACCAAAGACTTTTATGTGCCTCCTGAAAATCTACAAGTCAGTGTTGTTTTTTATGGCTTCTTGGTTTAATTTTTCAAATGTATCTGTTAGC